CAAGAGCCCCAGGCCTTCCAGGCCTTCCCAGGAGCGTGCGGGCTCCCTATCAGAGGCTTGTCGCCGCTCTATTTGCGAGGTATCGGCCCGACCCAATCGGTGCCCCGCATTCTGAGGAGGGAGGAGGAGGAGGAGGAGGAGGAGCCGAGGCCGGAGAGAGGAGGAGGAGGAGGAAGAGGAGCAGGAGCAGGAGCAGGGCAGGAGGAGGAGGAAGAGGAAGAGAAGAGGAAGAGGAAGAGGAAGAGGGGGAGGAGGAGGAGGAGGAGGAGGAGGAGGAGGAGGAGGAGGAGGAGAGAGGAGGAGGAGGGAGGGGGAGGAGAAAGAGGAAGAGAAAGGGAGGGGAGGAGGAGGAGGAGGAGGAGGAGGAGGAGCGGAGGAGGAGGAGGAGAGGAGGAGGAGGAGGAGGAGGAGGGGGAGGGGGAGGAGGAGGAGGAGAGGAGGAGGAGGAGGAGGAGGAGGATGGAGGAGGAGGAGGAGGAGGAGAGGAGGAGCAGGAGGGGAGGAGGAGGAGGAGGAGGAGGAGGAGGAGGAGGAGGGGGAGGGGGAGGGGGAGGAGGGGGAGGGGGAGGTGGAGGAGGGGGATGGGGGCTTCTTAGCAGCCCGCCCGGCTTTGGGCCCCCCTCCGCCTCCTTAGAGGGCCGCCCCCCTCGCGTTACCCCACTGCGTCGAGGGAAGGAGCACGGGGGCCACGACCAAGACGTCGCGGGCTCTTGCCGACGCCACGCTTGGCCGTGGTGCATGCATGCCGTCGTCGATCCGCGAGGGTGGTCCACGAGTTGACGCTGACAACGACAGTGCTTCTTTTACCCTCTGGGCCATAGCGCACGTTATGCCCCTTACCTTCCCCCACTCCTCCCCCCCATAACGTACCGCTCACCCCCTCAGTGCGTCCCTGGCATTGCCGCAGTGCGTCCGGCACCAAAGTTGGGGGGGGGGGGCGCTACGTCATGCCCCCATCTTCCCCTCCCCCCCATGACGCCCGTTGTGGCCGCGGATAAAGAAGTGCGTTCCAAGATGGACGGTGACCAAGATCGACACCGACGTTTCCGGGCCCAGTCTCACCGCCCACCAAGCCACCCCAACCTAACCCGAAGGTCCCGACTTGCCCTCCATTTCCAGTGGGGCCCGCACCCCCTCCCCGAAGCCCGAAATTCGGGTCTTCGGATTGGGTGAGGGTGGTCTGGTAGGTAGTCACAGCCTTGTTCGGATGCAACTCCTGGGAGGTCAAATTATGACTCTGCCCTGGTCCGAAATCCGGCTCAATCCCGCCTGATCCTGTTTAATCCAGTTTAGTCCTGTTTAATCCCGCTTGATCTGGCTTAGTCCCGCTTGATCCGAGGCCCAATCCAGCGTGGCAGGCCCTCAACCCTTCCGGCGAAAACCTCCCGGGAGCTGCCTCCTGAGCCTTGGTCGTGCCCCCCGTTTTGCCTCCCCTCGCCGCGGGCGCAGCCCCAGCCGGGGCACCGCCCCGCGGCGTGCGAGCCGCCGCTGCCCCGCGCGAGCGCCGTGCGCCGCCCTTGCCGCCCCCCTTTGACAGGGCGGGCCGATCTGACAATCGGGCGGGAGGGCAGTGGGGAAGCAAAGAGGTGCCTGTGCAGCTGCTTGACAGACCTCACAGCCTGGGAAGGAGGAGGAGGAGGAGGGAGCAAATGGGGAGGAGGAGGAGGAGGAGGAGGAGGAGGAGGAGGAGGAGGAGGAGGAGGAGGAGGAGGAGGAGGAGGTGGAGGAGGAGGAGGAGGAGGATGAGGAGGAGGAGGAAGAAGAGGAGGAGGAGAAGGAGGAGGAGGAGGAGGGTTGGAAGGGGGGGAGGGGGAGGAGTGCAGACCCAAGTTGCATCCACGATGTTGCAATCGGCCTTCCCTCCAAGTTCCTTCTGCGCAGGTCCCTGCAATAGTTGATTTTCACTGCGGGGAGTGCCCCGTTGCAAGACATTCGTCTGAGAATGCTACAACTCCGCGGACCAACGTTGCTGATGCGTCTTGACGATCCTGAATCGTGTCAGGCCACCGTTTCTGGGGCTTCAACACCGCGAATCAACGTGACTGTTGCGCCCTGACAATCCTTAATCGCGCCGGAACGCCATACCAATACATATACTACTACCCTTCGGGTGATCAGGAGGTTTGGGGGGAAATGGATCCGTCATGCCGGCCACACTGGTGCTGCTGGTTGCGTGTGTGTTGCTTCGCGTGGCGCTGTTGCTCACCGTCGTGCTCGTCACAGTCGTGTTCCCAGTGGCGCTGGTATTGCTGCGTTTAGTGTTGTTGCTTGCTGCCGTTGTGGTCACAGTATTGCTGCTGGTGGCGATTGTGCTTCTTCGCGTGGTGCTGCTGCTCCTCGTCCTGGTCGTCATACTGGTGCTGCTAGTGTCGCTGGTGCTGGTGCGCGTGGTGGTGGTGGTGGTGGTGGTACTGTCTGATGCCGTGCTAGTCAAAGAAGCACTGCTGGTGTCGCTCGTGTGGTTAACACTATTTCTGCTGCTGCTGGCGCTGGTGTTGCTGCTGCTGTGCATGGTGCTGCTGCTTCGGGCAGTGCTCGTCTCACTGGTGCCACTGATTGCGCTAGAGCCAGTGCGCGTGTGCAGTGCACCTGGCCACCTCGCCCACGGTTACGACGGATGCTCTCGCTTCACCAGCGGCCACATTCATTACATCGACTGCGCGTTGGCCTTATCCATGGCCACATCCATGATCAGCGAATGCCTTTTCTGCCGCAGTTTAGGCCACACCCATGATTGCGAACGTCATTTCCGCCTCAGTGTCAGCCACATCCATGATTGCGAACGTCGCTCTCGCACCATCGCCATCCACATCCACGAATACGACGACTGCTGTCGCTTCAGCGCCAGCCACATCCATGATTACAAACATTGCTCTCGCCTGAACGCCGGTCACATCCATGATTGCGAGTGTTGATCTCGCCTCGCGCGGGCCGCAACCCAGCTCAACTGCGTCAACTGCTCTCGCCCCAGCGCTGGCCGCACCAGCGATTGCGAGAGTTGCTGTCGCTTCAGTGCCGGCCACATCCATGATTGCAAATGTTGTTCTCGCCCCTGCACGAGCCACATCCACGCTTGCGAAGGGTTGCACTCGCCTCAGCGCTGGCCACATCCACGAAAGTGGCTCTCGCTTCGGCGCCAGCCAGGTTCGTCACTGAAGACGAGGGGGGATTAGTGATAGGGTTGGCACTTTTTGCATTGCATGTTGCTGTGTCGCCCCATTCTGGTGCAGCATTGGCTACAGCGCGCGCGTGACACACTGGTGTCGCCGAGCCGTTGGTCACGTTAGCGTTGATGGGTCAGATTAGCTTTGGCGCAGTGTCGACAGGGCCTGGGTCAGGGTAGCTTAAGGATTGGCCGAGTTCTGTGCGGGCTCCCAGAATCCAGAGTTGGCCTCTTGCGCGACTGGCCCTGTAGCACCAGATCTTCAAGAAGAGAATTCTTCCAGGGTGCAGAGGCGTGGAAGCGAACGACAAATTCTCGACCAGGGACTTGGCGGCAAGAGCGCGAGCAGTTCCACACGGGCCGTGCACCCCGAACGTGTTTTCGGGCTCCAGGGCTTGCAGGGGGCTCGGCGCAGCGTCGGTCTCCGAGACTGCTTCGAGGGAGCCGGTGCCGGGACCCGGCCTGCTCGGGAGAGTCCCATCCCGAGGGCGGGGGCGGCACTCCCGCACACCCTGCAGTGGGGTCGCGCAGGATGCTCAGCGATACACTCTAGGCGATGCTTAAGAAAACCCAAGTTTTCGGCCAGAGTCTCGATTATTCTTAATGTTTCAATGTAAATCCCAAGATTTGAATAGACATTTTGGGTTTTTATTCAAATTCTGAGACTATGAATTTCTTAAGCCATGATTTCTAAAGCATTTCGCAGGGTGTACACTTGGTCGTTGAGTCGTTGAAGAGTCGTCGGTCACACATCATCTCGATCTTGTTGGGGTTTGATCTCTCCACGTCGTGGGGGGCGGGCGGGCCACTCCGCTGGCAGCCCCAGACCGGCACCCGCCGTCTCGGAGAACCGCCGCGCGCCGAAGGCGTTCCACAGCCTCTGGAGTGGTGCGCCGGCGAGGCGAGCATGACCTCCGTGCGGGGAGGACCCCCCTCGCGCCCATCAGGGGCATCGTCAGGTGAGCGACGCAAAAAAAATAGGGTCGTCTTCGCCGACATTGGCGCGTAAGCTGTCCGCGCAAGTTTGCGCGTAAGCGCCCTCAGCTCCAGCTTGGCGTGCCGCGCTGGCGGCCCGAGTAAGCCACCGTGTCAGGTTGCCGTGCCATCTCGCGTGAGACCCGTTTTTGCTCGGCGTTCAGGCGGATATGCTCGGGGGGAGATAAATCGACCCCCGATCGCCCATTCATCGCAGACTGGGGCCCGATACAGTCGGGGCCCTGAAGAAGGAACCCTTCTCGTGGGGGAGGGGCTCCGCGTTGCTTAAGTGTTTCGCAGCTTGCCTCAGGTTGTCCTCACGTCTTCGATCGGAAATCGAAGTTTAACTTATGGACAAAAAGGGGCCTCGTTCCTTATTTTGGGTTCCTTAGGTCAAGGCCCTGACTGTAACCCCGCCCAGGAGCCTGCGGTTTCGCTATCGGGGCCGGCCCCTCGCCGAGCGCAGAAGAAGCACCAGTTGGTTGCTGTGGCTCGTGCTGCGGCCAGCGCGCGCGCGCCACGGCAGACGGCTCGAGCCGCGACACTCCTGGAACTTCCATATGCCATCGGAAGCTGGGCGAGGGCCGCTGAAGCCGTGGCTCCTCCCTCCTCCCTCCTCCCTCCTGCTCCTCTTCCTCCTCCTCCCTCCTCCTCTTCCTCCACCTCCCTCCTCCCTCCTCCTCTTCCTCCTCCTCCTCCTCCTCAAGCGGCCCTCCCGGAAGGAGAAAACAACTTCCCAGAACGAGGCGCGGCACGCGAAACAGTCAGCGGGCTACTTCCCGGAAGGACGGAGACAACTTCCCGGAGGTCGATTTTTTAGTAGCCACGGATTCAGCAGCCCTTGCCCGGCTTCCGATCCTAGGCTGAAGCGTTTGGCCGCGGCGGCAGCAATGATCGATCGCATGCGCTTCTGCCTTGCAATCCAGTCGTTGCAGAGCGTGTGGGCCATCCAGGTCTCGACCGGCGGGGCACCGACCGAGGCCAGCGCCCTGCGTGGGAGCCGCCATGCGCTGAACATGAGCACCCGGCTGGGTGCGATCCTGTCGTTCCCCGGCGTCACGTGGGCCACGAGCACTCTGACTGAGGGAACGCTGTGCTGGACAGACCGCGCATCTTACTATTACTATTCCGTCAGTTCGAGCGGCATCCCATCTGGCACTCGAAGAAAAAGAAACATACTGAGGACTAATGTTCGGAGATCTGCGTGGATTTCTTGGATCAGCGGTGGATCTCCCTCCCTGGCGCGCGGAGCGCGCAAGGGGCGGCGCCGGAGGCGCCGCCAGGAGGGCCAGCGCAGATTCAAGGAAGCGGCGCGGAGCTGCAAATGTTATGTTTATGCGTGTTTTCTTTTCTTCTAGGCACTACGTTCTGGATGGGGCCCCACAAAACTTATCCGGAGGGCAGCTTTGAGATCACCGCCCTGGAGTCCGGCACGCTGTACTTCTGGAGCGAGACTAACTCCACACGCGACGGCGGATTCGAGGCGGCGTATTCGGGCTCTGCAGTGGGCACGATGACGTGGAACGGCCACGCCATGACTACGTACTCGATGCCAGTGACGAGTGGGGGGGCATTTCTCGAAGCACACGAGCGGGCACAAACATACAGTTGGTAGGCAATGTTTAGCGTTTACCTTATTTTTGTTTGGCACCCCTGGCGACGTCTGTGACACGCTAAGCGCTTCGGCGGGACCAGGGCCCAAACTTTGATGTCCTGGGAGGGCGACTTTGTGACACGCTGTGCGCTGGATTTGGGAATGGCACCCGAGCCACTCTGGCACACGCCAAGCGCTCCCCGATCCCTCCCTCCCCGAGCCACTCCTCGCCTTGACAAAGCGGGGTCGACGCCCCTCCCCTCATCTTGGGGGTCCCTCTCCCCAACACACCCTCCCTCGCCCAAGGGAGGGGAGAGGGAGGAGAAGGAGGAGGAAAACGATGAGGAGGCGGAGGAGAAGGAGGAGGAGGAGGAGGAGGAGGAGGAGGAGGAGGAGGAGGAGGAGGGGGAGGAGGGAGGGGGAGAAGGTGCGATGGTAAGGGAGGGTGGGTGGGGACGGGGGGAAACGACTTGGATACACGATCAGTCCAAGATTGCAGAATGGGCCCAGTGCAGATACCCGTCGACTTTGGCACACGCTAAACGATGCCTGTTGCACTGCGCTTAGCGTGTACCTATGTTTTTAAGGTGCACGCGAACATTCGGAGGTCCACGCGGATTTCTTGGATCGGCGCTGGACCCCCCCTCCTTGGCGCGCGGAGCGAGCCAGGGGCGGCGCCAGAGGCGCCGCCACGGGGCTCCAGCGCAGATTCAAGAAATCGGCGGGGACCGTCGACAGGTTATGTTTATACAGTTTTGCTTCCTCCCCCCCAAGACGTCATCGGCATGATTTCTTGGAGGCCTGCGCGGTTTTCTGGGACTGGCGCTTGCCGCCCCTGGCGCGCTAAGCGCGCCAGAGGCGGGGGGGGGGTCGAGCGCCGACCGGAAAAATTCGCGCGGACCTCCGAATACGGTACAGTCGAAACCGATGGTACGGATGGGTCAGCTTCCCAAGGGTGCTCCAAATTTCGTAATATAGAGTGAGGGGGTTACAGCCCTCCCAGACGAGCAGTTTCAGACCCCCCTCAGACCAGCCATGAGCAGGCGGCTGTCTGCCCAGACCCCGCAGAATCCTCCAAGACAGCTCAAATCAGACCCCCTCTCAAAACAGACCACCCCCCTTTTATTGTGAAATCCTGGGTGCCCATGCATCCTTGCCTTTTCGGCCCATGCTTAACCACTCTCGATGGCCAGCCCCTCTCGAAGAGCCTCGACATGGGCGTCCAAGGGGTCTGCATCCTTTTCGCGCATCCTTACTATCAGTTTTGACTGTAGGTTCGCGTCGTGCCGACCAGCGGCAACCCCGCCGCCAGCGTTCAACGTGAAACGCCGCCTGGGACCCATGATCGGTCGATGTTGAACGATCTGACGTTTTTTGAACGGCTGATCGTTCAAGGTCGAACGATCTCCGCGGTGTGAGGAACCAACGCCAGGGTCGACACGACACGAACCTGCCCTAATGATGTTTATGCAGTTGATTGTTTTTGCACTTTTGAAGCAAGTGCACCTACACCACCCTGTTAGCACGCAGCTCCTGGAATGTTCACTTCAGCATCGGCGCTGGTATTTCTGTGGTTGACAGCCGGCCTGATCCGGCATAGTCTCGCTTAATCCATACTAATTCCGCTGAGTTCGGCTCAATTGGGCTCAATTCTGGGCTCGATCTGGCTTGATCTGGCTCAACGGGCCCTCAATCAGACTTCTTAATGTATCGTCCTTGAGAAGACCTCCCAGGAGTTGCCTCCTAACGTCCCCTCACCCATCCGTTCGGTAGCAAATCTTGGGCCCTTGTCTGCCGTCGGAATGTCGTCCTCAGAGTGGATTATAGTGCGCTTGCGTCTGATTGTCGACGGTCACCCGCCAATTCAGCGTCGGCCAGCGTTAGTCAGCGTCGGCTCGCAAGAGCCAACACGATGTCGTGGAAGGTTCCCACGAGTTGCCACAGCGAACAGCCGCCCGTCGTCCGCCAGCCTGCTTCCGAGGGTATTACGTCCAAAGGGAGTATGGCCATACGGATTGCTCGGTCTCCGTATGGACTAAGTCCGTCTGGACTTCGCTTCTCCTGGTACGTTGCGAATTCCATACGGAGCGAGTCCGCTCGGAGTGCTCGGTCTCCGTACGGATTTTTCTCCGTCAGGGCTTACACTTGGCATCTCATTCGCATCTTTCGGACGTGTGCGTTGTTTCTCGGCGAGGACCACCGAAGTGCATGTCGGATCATCTTGCGACATCTACAGAGGACGGAGCGAAAATTGCACGCCGACTGGACGTGCGAGCGATGACGCGCCTTCCGGGTGCCCCGAGTGCCACGGCACGCGCGGGGGCGGCGCCGCCCCCTTGTCCCAGCGCGCCCAGCACGCGGCGCGGTGCGCCGACGCGAGGCTCTTGTCTCAGGCCTGCCAGGTGAGCGACGCAGAGAGGCCTCCCTTCTCGGGCCTCCCCCCTCAGGCCCGGCTCCCTTCTTAGGCCTCCCTTCTCGGGCCTGCCCCCATCCCTAGGCCTCCCCTCTTTAGGCCTCCCATCCGCCGTAGCCTGCCTCCTTAGACCTCCCTCCTTTCGATCCCTGCTTAGGCCTGCCTCCCCTCTTAGGCCTGCCTCCCAGGTCGTCTGCGCCGACACTGGCGCGCAGGCTGCCCGCATAAGCCCGCGCGTCAGCGCCCCCGTCTCGAGTGTGGCGTGCAGCGCTGGCGGCCCACGTGCGCCACGGCGTGAGGTCGCCATGCCATGCCGCGCAAGACCTCTTTCCCTTCGTCGCCCAGGTGGTGTCCGAGAACAAGTGGGGTCGGAGGATCGCGCCACATCGCCGATGCATCGCCGATGCGCGGCTCGGTGTGGAGCCTTGATTGTGTCCACGCTCACGCTGCCCGTGCATCGCCGCCGATGCATCGTCGATGCATCGGGGATGCGACGCAGGGGTCCTCCTCCTTTTTCCTCCTCCCCCTCCGCATCCTCCTCCTCCTCCTCCGCATCCTCCGCCTCCTCCTCCTCCTCGCTCCTCGCTCCTCCTCCTCCGCCTCCTCCTTCCTGTTTCTCCCCCTGCTTCCTGCTCTCTTCCCAGTGCCCCCCGCCCCCGGGCGCCTCCTGCCACAGTGGGCGGGCAGGGCGCACGTGTTTCAGGAGCGACAAAAGGACGTACACGTACATGAATCCACGCTGGTTTCGAGAGTACGCATTGCGCAAATGTTCGTATAACGCGGCCGGTCTCGCGGATCGAGGGGCCGTGTTCATGTACATAGTTGGGCGCGTACGTCCTTCGTGGGCTCCCTAGTGTTTCGCTGCCCCCCACAGGTGGGTCGACCGTGTCCATCGTCAAGGGGACGGCCCAGTTCGTCGGTGGGTTTGCGTGGGTGCCGGTCGCCCCAGCAGTCCCTCCCACCGTCTCTGTCTCTCTCTCTCGCTCTCTCTTGCTCTCTCTCGCTCTCTCTCTCTCGCCCTCGCTCTCCCCCTCTCCTCTTTTGACCCTCCTGTCTACAGGTCTCTCTCTCTCTCTCTTTCTTCGCTATTTATTTGTTTGTTTATCTCTCTCTGTCTATATATATACACATGTTTCCCTCTCCCTCTTTGTATATATACACATAAATATGCTTATATACACAAACATAGGCATATACATATACTTACGTATATACACACACATGTATACATGTTGTTAGACAGCTATAGATAGGTCTGCATAGCTATTTATATACATACGTACATATGTATAGATAGAGATATACATACATCCACATACACGTATTTATATGTGTGCATATCTTCATGTATCGATGGCCGGTTCCCCCAGCGACCCCCCAAAACGCCCAAAGTTCGGATCCGCAGGATCGTTTCACTGAATCCGCAAGCTCGCTTCATTGGCCTTTTTTCTTGTTTCCCAAAAAGCATGAGCTTGCGATCCAGACTGACAAACTCCTCCACTCGGCCCATGCGTCACGGGCACCGCGAGCATTTCGGTTTCGGTCGGTGTCACGAAACGCTGTGTATGTTAGGTATTCCCGATGTGCTAGGTCTGGGAAACAACGAAACCCTATGTGTGCTAGGCTGTGTATGTTAGGTATTCCCGATGTGCTAGGTCTGGGAAACAACGAAACCCTATGTGTGCTAGGCTATCTCTGTTTTTTAGGTCAGGAAGGCTCCAGTGCTCGCCGCGGCCTTCCCCCAGCACCTCTCTCTCTCTCTCGCTCTTTGGCACAGCCAGGGGCGTGCCCTCAGCGAGGTCGCAGACCAGCGGCGGTGATGCAGGCAGCCGTGCGACCCCTCAGCTCTGCGAGCTCGGGGCCCGGGAGGCTATTACTGAGAGCGGCGTCCAGCCGGCCTGGCAGTTGCTGGCGCTTCCCCGTGGTGGGGGCGCGCAGGAGGGCATGCCAGTTCCCCAGACATCTGGCTGCTCCCATTTTTTCGATGCATGGGCCCCGGAGGTCTGGACCACTTCCCTGGGGCTGGCTTTTCACCTTGAGTCGTCGTTTTTTAACGGTCCCGAGGCCCTGCGAGGTCTCCCGGAGGCCGAAATCAGTTCAAATCCGCCCGCTCCATTTTTTTTTGGAGCGTCGGATCTTTGGGTCCTCCTCCGCCTCGAGGCCGCCAGACCAGGTGGGCGCGCCCACCAGGGCGAGGTGGTGCACGCGCGCCGCCGCCGCTGCCGCTCTCGTCGCCTCCATCTCCACTGGGCCTGGCCTGGGGAGGCACCTGCTTCGGCTCCGCGCCGGAAGGCCACGCTGCCTCCGCCTCCACCAGGCCTGGCCCAGAAGGCACCTCCACCAGCCTCTCGTCGGGAGGCAAGGCGATGCTTCGACCTCCACAGGGGCCGGGAAGGAGGGCAGCCAGCAATTCCGCCGCGGCCTCGGGGAAACTGGACCGGGGGCCTCGAGAGGCCGGGGGACTCGGCTCCGCCAGGTGACGACCTGGGAGCTGCGGCACCTCGCGACCCACCCGCCCCAACTTGGAAGGCTCGAGCTGCGCCAGCGCCAACTCGTTACCCGCCGCGACCCCGTGCCTGGCGCGGTTCACCTCGACTGGCGTCGGAGCCGCCTCGATCGCGCCAGGGACCAGCTCGACCTGGGCCCCGTCCTCCACAGCCGGGGCTAAAGGACCGGCTCCACCGCGTATAGGGAAGAGCAGAGCCTTGATGGTGGGGCCGAGTCCGTGGGTGGGTCCGGGAGGAGCCCCTTCCGCCGGAGCCGGAACCGCCCGCGCACCAGGGAGCGGCGTCTGGCGCCCCATCCGGGCGTGAGGGCTGGGGGAGGGAGGCCCGCCCTCTGGCGGGGCCGATGCTGGTCCGGGAGGTGTCACTTCGACCAGGTCCGCGCTCGCGCAGGCGGGCTGCGCAGCAGCTATAGGGCCGGGGGCCCCCGGGGGGCCGCGCCGCCACCAGGCCAGCTGGCGAAGACTGCCAGCTCGATTCCGCCTTGGGGCCTCCTGGCGTGACCGGTGGGGTGCGGCAAGGCCGCTGGCGGCTCGGCCGTCCCCGCCGTCGCCGGAGCCCCAGGGCCTGCAATACGCGATGCTGGCTCCACGAACTCCTCCTCGCCACCTGCCGCGTGCGCTCAGCGCTGCCGCGGACCTGCCGCGCCGTACCACTGCGCCGGGGCCGAGGGCTCTGGCGCGGGCGCTGGCTGCGCGGCGCGGTCCCGCGCCTCGCTGCCGCTGTCGCGAGCGCTGCTCGGGGGGCGCGCGCGACGGTGGCGGCGGCGCCACCTGCCGCCTGGGGGGCGGCTGCAGCCCGCGGCACTCGCTGCCGCGGGCTCTCTCTGCCGCAGGGCGCCCTACTCAGGCCACGGGGCCGTCCCGCCGGATCAGCACACCCCAGGGACCGCCGTGGAGGTGAAGCCCTGCAGGCCCGCGACCTTTAGGGCCGCCCGAATCAAGTCCGCTCGGCCTCCGCCAGCGGCGTCGCTTCCGGTAGCGCTCGTCGGCACTCCCACCGGCGCCTCTTCGGCATGACGCTGCGCCGCCGCTGGAGGCCTCGTTGCTGTGGGGTACTCCGCGGGTGGCCCTTCACGCCTCAGCCTCCGTCCCCTGGCCTCCTCGCCCGAGTCGCTGTCTTAGGAGCACTCGTCCGCCCCCTGCTTAGGCACCGCCGGGGTGGGCGCCATCGGCGCGGGGGGGCCCTCCCGCAGCTTCGCCTGCTGCGGCGGCGTCCCCAGGCCCCCGACGGCATGACTGTTCTCAGAACGTCGACCCCCGGAGGTCTCGACCCATTCCCTGGGACCTGCTTCTAGGGCCCTCCGCCGGCGGGGGGCGCGCCCGGCCGCGCCAGGGGCTCTGACGAGCGCGGTCCACCGCGCGGGGCCCGCCGCGAGGCTTGCCGCTGCCGCGGCGCCCTCTGCGGCACGACGGCCCAGCTGCCTCTTGGCCTGAGGCGGCCCAGGCCCCTGGCGCCGGCGCCACGGCGGCGCCAGTCGGGATGGATGGGCACTGCGAGCCAGCAGTGCCCGTGTGTCGTTGAAGGTAAGTTTTTATGGATTCCCAGATCCCAGCCTGGCTTAGCCGCCTTCCTACTTCAAGAGTCGAGTGGGCTTCCTTCCTCGTCAGGGGGCGGGCGGAAACCGAATCTGCTTCAACACCTCCCTACTTCATGGTTCTGCCCACTTCTTCCGACCGACGTTTAGGCCGGGCCAGGGGGGAGCGGCGGCAGCGCCGCCCCAGCTCCTCTGGGGCACGCCGTGCCCTGCCCCTGCCGCGCCCCGGATCGCCGCGCTTCCCCGTGAAGCGCCCTGGCGCTTCGCGTGCGCACCTGGGACGGGGCCTTGAGCCACAATGGTTGCGGGGGTTAGGCGATCGCAAACATGTATCAAGGGGGCGTGGGTAAGCGACAGGTCCCGCTTCCAAGGGGAACTCGCGGATCTCCGCCGCCGAACGAGGCGGCACCGGCCGCACTTTGGGGAGGGCACCTCCCCCGATCCATGGGTTGGGCAACCGCGCGCCAAATCCATGGATCGCTAATCCATGTTTGCACGCCCCCGAGGGGGGCTGGGTATGGAAAACAGCATACACACCGGTTCGCTGCTTACCAGACCTAAAAGCCCCCAAAGCTATTCATCAGCGTTTCGGGGCACCGAGGGCTCGCGCCTGGAACATGTGCCCCTATCCCCTACCTCCTCCTCCTCCTCCTCCTCCTCCTCCTCCTCCTCCTCCTCCTCCTCTTACCCTCCTTCCTCGCTCCTCCTCAGAGGAACTGTTGTGAGAAGAAGGCAAGTCATGACAAACCGTCTGATGCTAACTTTGAAATTCACTGTAGGACGTTGAGAGCGAGGATTACGCGGAAGAGGGGGATGGTGAGGCGGAGGAGGAGGAGGAGGAGGAGGAAAAACAATTACACATGCTCGAATCCCTCCCCAAGCTCTTGAGAATGAGGAGAAAGAGGAAGATGAGGAGGATGAGGAGATGAAGATGAGGAGATGAGGAGGAAGAGGAGGATGAGGAAGAGGAGCATGAGGATGCGGAGGGTGAGGATGATGCACCAATCACAAGGGATGATGACGAGGAAGATGAGGATGAGGGGAGGAGGAGGAGGAGGAGGAGGAGAGGAGGAGGAGGAGGAGTCGGACGAGGAGGAGAGGAGTCGGACGGGAGAGGAGGAGGAGGAGGAGGAGGAGGAGGAGGAGTGATGGGGGCGGAAGGAGGACGAGGAGGAGGAGGAGGAGGAGGAGGTGGAGGAAGTAGGACGAGAAGGATGAGGACGAGGAGCCGGATGAGGAGGAGGGAGGACGACGACAGTGATGTGCCAGATCAAAGCTCTGATGGGGGTCGCCAGGGGGACGATGGTCGGATGTATACCCGTCTGCGAGGCCTGGGTGCCCGGCGGGTCGGGGGTCCCAGGGGTGCCCCAGATGCAGCTCGGGGCTCTCGGGGCGCTTCCGGGGCGCTGGAAAAGCACTCCCAGACGCGCGTGGTTCCTTCCAGGAGGCCCATCACGAGCCCGAGGTGCTCCACGAAGGCTTCCAGATGACCCCAAACGCCCCCCCCCCCCTCCCCGACGGCGCCAGAGGGTGCCGAGACGGCCCTCAAGGGGAGCCCCCCCAAGAGGGAACGATCATGTGTTCCCCTTCGGTTTTGGATTTTTTTGGGGGGGGAGTCCACCTTGTTGGCTTGCCGACGCTCCATTCCAGCCCAAGAAGCACCAATGCCCGCTTCAAGACGCTTTCAGAGGCTCCCCCCAGGGGTGCCCAGAGCACCCAAGAGGCCCCAAAGCCGCTCCAGGACACCTCCAGTATAGCACAACAAGGCGCCGAGTCGTTAGGAGTCCGTCGAGCGGCCGCGCCTGCGCCGCTGCAGCGGGACTGGACATGACAGGGATGGTGAGCGCTGTAAAAGTCTACGTGGGGCTAACGGTTAGCGGTCCCCGACGCGGTGTGCTGGAAGGCCACCACGCGGGGGCGCGGCTCCCCCGGTGACCGACGCTCGGGCTGGGCGAAAGGGGGGGATTGGGAAAGGGGGGGTTACGAAATTTGCTGCATGCAGCTGGTTTCGACCTCACCGAGGGGCCCATTCCTCGACACATAGCCGCCTCCAGCGCCGGGAGGCGCCGGGAAAATCAGCTACGTGAGCTGATTCTCAAACCCCCCCTTTGCTATCCCCCCCTTTCGCCCGACCCGAGACGCGGGGGTGCTCGGTTTCTGTGTCCCGTCTGCCCTCCTTTGCCCTCCGTGCGGGTGCCGCTGCGTGCGTCTGGCTCCAGTGCTGGCCGGCGCCGCGCACGGTGCGCATTGACGGGCCGGAAGAGGGAGGCGCGCGCCGGCCACGCGCGCCGCCGGGGCGTCTGCCCGCACCACTGGATGGTCCGCCCGGAAGAGCCACGTCAAGGGTTCCCAGGAGCTACGTAGGATCACACTGAGACTATGCATCATTTGTCAAGGGCATAAAAAACGCCCCTACCCTGGTTCACGAGGCGTTGTGCGCTGAAACTCCTGTGGGTTGACAGGGTACTCCCTGCGGGATGTGCCGCGTCCTGGCGGCTCTAGGCTCTGGGGGTTCCCAGGAGGTTTACAGACCACGCACTTGTAACCCAGGGTAGGGTCGTTGTTTCATCCATCAAATTTGCATGCGGTCATCTAGATCACCCGACAACAAAAACAAGGGCCCATGGATGAGTTCTGCGCAGCGCGCCTCAAGGCGCCCCGGGAGACCTGCAAGGGTTCTCGTCTTGGCCTTCCTCCCCCTGCCTCTCATCCTCGCCAGCGTGCTCATCATTACTTTCGCCCCGAGCTCTATCTCTCGTCATTCAGCGGGGAAAAAACACAGAGACACAAATCGTCGACTCCCAGGAAAATATGTGAAAATATGGGAAGTGGGGGGGATGACTGAAACCCTAAACATATGGGAAAAGATGGTGAATCCTGTTAGTTGTGTCTATGTATGTGTGTGTCCCAGGGCCCCTTCAGCCATCCGTCTTGTCCTTGCCGCCGGCCCCCTCCTCTCCTCGTCCTCCTCCTCCTCGCCATCGTTCTCATCATCATCTTCGCCCCCAGCGCTATCTCTTGTCGTCCGTCTTATATCCTTGCCGCCGTCCCCCTCTCCTCTCCTCGTCCTCCTCGTCTTCCGTCGCCTTCCCGTCCTCTTCGCAGCCGCCCTCCTAGTCGTCCTCCTCGCAGTGCCGCGTGCGCCCCTCGTCCCCCTTCCCCCCGCCGTCGTCGTCCTCGTCCACCTCGTCCCCCTTCCCCTCGCCTTCCTTCCCCTCGCCTTCCTCCTCCTCCTCCTCCGCCTCCTCCTCCCCCTCTTCCTCGTCCCCTCGTTCTTGTCGTCGTGGGGGGGGGCGTCCAGCGGCCGGCTTTCCCCCGGCGAGTCTCGAGGCCACAGCCACGGAGGATCAGAGCAGCGCCCGTTGCGACAAGAGCACGAGCGCCGTCAGGTCGGTGTCGGTGTGGGCCGAGGTTTGGAGGGGCCCGTCGGGTGTACGTGACGATTTTTTATCGTCGCGTGTGAACGTCCGGGTCGGGGCTTCGGCGCCGGCCCTTCGGGCATCACCAACACGATCCAGAACGTTTATCCGCCTTGTTTCTCCCCTCCGCCCCCGCCCCTTCGGGCTTCGGTTTTCGAGGCGGTGGCCAACCGGGCCATCGCAACGCATGGGCCCCATGGTCGAAATGAGAGGAAACGCTGGTACCAGGCACCGCCATCAGACAGAAGCAACCCCGACGCCTGTCGCCCAGTATCCCTACAACTGTACCTGTCTAGGTCATCGTGCCGGGAAAATGTTGCACCCTGAGAGTGACGACGACGACGCTGTCGCTTTGGAGTTCTTTTTGGGGTTCCCTTGGGCGCCTCTCGGGCTCTCCTGGGGCCGGGATTGGCTCGGTGGGCCTCCTGACTGCCCCGCCCGGCGGTGCTGGCGCTGCTCCCGCGGCGAGGCTTGCCCGGGGTGCCGAGCAGCTGGAGGGGGCGCGTAAGGGGAGGGGGCGAAGAACGTGGGTGCAGAACAGGGTCCTCCAGGGCCCCTACAGAGGGGCCCTTCAGGGCCCCAGGGAGAGCCTGCACGGCCCGAAGAGGGCCCCCCCCCCTTATCACCGCCCTCCCGTGCGCTCGCGCGCGGAACGCTCCGAGAAGGCCGCGGTGCCCGAGACCCCCCTCTACGGCCGCCGCATCTCAGAGCAGAGATCCTCGAGGCATCCTCTCCGGAATCTGTCCTCGCCCTGGCCTCGTCTTTCGGCACGGTGCTCCGGGCCCTGCGGGAGGGCCCGCCTCGGCCGCCGCTGCGCCGCCGTCGGCAAAAGCGCCGGCTCGCCGTGCTGCTGCTCGCCGTGCTGCCGCCGGCCAGTGCCGCTCGCCGTGCTGCCGCTCCTTCGGCTCGGCCGCCCTCGCGCGGGAGGCCCCCGTCGCAGTGCACGGCCGCAGTGGCGGGTGCAGGCGGCGGCTTCTCGCCCGCCGCCCGGTGGGGCCCGCCGGGCTCCTGCAGTGTGCGAGGCTGCTTCTGCTCCCGAGTGGTTTCGAGGCTGGACAGAACCCCCAACAGTGACACGTCGATTAGTGAATTGTCCGTTTTCGGTTCTCGAGAGGGCGCCGTGGCCGTTATTTTCCAGGTTTGCGCCCTCCAGGTTTAGGCCTCAGGTCGTTTTCACTAAACCACGTTTTACTAAAGGGGGGTCTGTCCATCCCTGAGAGGCTGCTTCTGCTCCCGAGTGGTTCTTTGCCTCCTCGCTCTTTTCCGCGCCTTCCGTGTTCTCACGGCTCTCCCCACGATCGGGCGAAGAGAACTACGTATGCACATGCACCGATCTTGGCAAGGCCCATCCTTGACCCAGGATCGGTGCATATGCCTTCCTGGCCAGGGTAGGAGGGCGTATGCACCGATCCTGGGCTCAGGGTGGGCCTGGCCAGAATCGGTGTATGTGCATAGTTCTCTTTCCTCTGTCGCTCTTTTCCGCGTCTTCCGTGTTCTCACGGCTCTCCCCACGAGTCATGAAACTCGTTTTCGCTTCGAGAAGCCCCGCCAGCCCATTCAGAAACCCTGCCCAGGAGAGCTGACGGGGAGCGGAAAGCAGAGACGCACACAGTGAAACAGAGCGGTCAAAGAGAGGAGGGGGATGAACGTGTTGAGCCATGTTGGAGGCTATCTTGGAGCATCGGAGGCCGTCTTGGAGCTACGGGGCTTTTGGGGGGCGTCTTGGGGTCCTCTTGGGGCTCCTTTGGGGCATCTAGGGGCTGGAGCTCTTTGGGGGTCTGGGGGTCCTCTTGGGGCTCTTCTGGGGCGTCTTGGGGCCCTCTTGGGGCCCCTCTTGGGGCCCTCTTGGGGCTCGCTTGAGGTTCTCCTGGGAGCTTTGGAACTTCGGAGGGCCTCTTGGGGCTGTCGTGGAGGGTGTCGGTGAAAAGAGAAAGGGTCCTGACGTTTGGTCCCCCCTCTCGGGCCATCAAAATAGCCTCTTGGGGCGCCTCTGAGGCCCTCTGGGGGCGATCTTGGACTCTCTTGGGGCCGTCGGGGCCTCTTGGGCCCTTCTTGGAGCTCTCTTGGGCCATCTTGGGTCCATCTTGAGACCTCAAGCGCATCGGAAGCGAGAAGGCGAGAAGGCCAACATTTTTTGTCATACCATGGTTTTTGAAGGACGTTGGCTTCTCGGGGAGGTCCTGAGGGGTCTTCAAAAGCACTTGGATCCGTCATGTGGCCTTCTTGGGGCCTCTTGGAGGCATGTTGCTAGCTATCTTGAGCCATGTTGGGTTATCTTGAGCGATCTTGGAGGCCATCTTGGGCTCTGTGAGACCCTCTTGGAGCCATCTTGGGCTAAAAAGGACCCTCTGACCGCTCGCGAGCCCCCCCGGCCAGGTCAAGGGGAGGGGGTAGGGGGAGGGGTCAAGACACCCCCTAGATAGCAAACCGTCTAGCGCACTCCCACCCGCCCTCCCAATTCAGAAGTAGCACCCGAGCCTGAGCATGTTCAGCGGCCATCTTTGGATGAGCAGCTACTGGGAACCAAAACCGACCCCATGTGCGCGACGCTGGGGCGAGGTGCGCCACGCGTGCCAGGCGCGCTACGCGCGCCAGGCACTCCAGGGGCCCGAGCGTGCCAGGCACGCCTGGTGCACCAGATGCGCTACGTGCTCCGCGTGCGCCAGGTGTGCCGCATACTGCAGCCGCGAAAGGTGCGTCACGTTCGGGGCACGTGCAGAGTGTGTCGCGCCTGCGAACGTGACAGCACACATCGGGAAACATGTCGGCCCCCACCATCCTTGTCGACAATTACTCCGACGGAAGAACCCCACATAAGAATCCTCTGGGCGAATCTGGAAAAAGCCATCACCGTCGTCCTCGTGGTTGGTGAGGCGTCCTGGCTGTCTCTTCTGCGTATATTTCCTCTCGCCTTGGCGCGGGCCCCCCTTCCACTCCTTACGTTGTCCCCATCCTCGCCCCCCTGTTTGTTCCGCGCCCCGCCACCTCCTCCCCTTCCTGTTGCATGAGCGCGCATGTCGATGTTCCTCGGCGCCGTCGCCGCCACGGCCAGCACAGGCGCGTTCTCTACTGGTCACGTCGCGCAGCCGTTGGGACAACCCCGCGGGCCAGGCTGTCGGGACAACCCCGCGAGCCGTTGGCGCGCAAGACCAAGCCGTTGGGACAACCCCGCGGGCTTCGAGCGAGGCGCAGCCGCGCTCAGGCGGAAGGCAGCACGAAGCCCAGCTCTGCCGCGAGCTGCTTCGCCTCCGCCCTGGACAAAACCGCTCTCTTGTCGAACTCCAGGAGCGCCTTCCGCAGGGACGCCGGCGGCCCGCACTCCAGGAACTCTCGCGGCGGCGGCCGCAGGATCAGCATGTTCCGCATGCACGTGGCGCGGGAGAACATGACGTAGAGGTGCAGCCACCACTGCTCGTCCGACATGCCCGTGCGGCCAGCGTCCTCGTCTCTCGCGCAGTCGATGGTGACGCCCTTGCGCAGCGTCTGGCCCTGCGACAGCGTGGAGGTCAGGTAGGACGCGTGCGTCAGGGTGAACCCCGAGCGGCGCACGCTGTGCGCCCCCGAGCTCTGCCATGTGAACTCCCTTTCGCTGGGCCTGAACATCAGCAAGCTCCGCGCCCGCGCCTCGGCCTGGCCGTCGTCGTCGGCGCCTTCGGCGCCCTGTCGCAGCACCTCGGCGACCTCCTGGTAGATCGGAGACTCCTTGAAGCCGTGCACCTGCAGCCAGATTCCCTGCGGTAGGAAGCGGGGGCGAAAGAGCTGGCCTGCCGAGCACTCCTCGTAGCGCTGCTCGTCCTCGTGGTGGAACTCGAAGGACACGATGGTGGCCCGCTGCTCCTGCACGAGCCCCAACTTCTTCTTCAGCTCCTCCTGCGCTGCCGTGAACCGCACCTCCATGCCGACGTGGGCCGGCAAAACGCCGTGGATGTCCCCCGTCTTGTGCATGTTCGGGACGTTCAGGAGGCGCCGACCCGCGTCGGGCTCGCCCTGAATCGCGCCGCACTCGTCAACGGCCTGCAGGAAAACAAGGGGCACGCCCAGACGCCGAGCGTCGCGACGAGCGCGCGTGTTGATCCACCTCGCCAGCGTCTCCCAGTATATGCCCATGCCGTAGCCGAGCCGAACGTTCTCTTGCTGGTGCCGAGGGCCCAGGACGCCCTGGTTGTCCGTGGCCAACGTCTTCTCCCAGGCGGACCAGACCTCAGGTGGGAAGGGCTTGCCCTCGCGCGTGCAGCCCAGGAACGTGATCAGAGGGTCCCCGGGCTCGAAGCGCTTCGTGCCCTTCAGCTCGAAGACGCAGGGGATCTGAGAGAAGACCTTGATGGCGTGCTGGATCTCCACCGTCGGCGGGTCCGCGTACCTGTGCGACTCGTCGTCGTCCAGGCGCTCGCTCACGTCCGTCAGGAGGCCAATGCTGCCGGTGGGCTTCAGCTGCAGGAAATCGCCGAGGTGCAACACGATGGGCACGCGCCCGAAGTGGTGGTGTGGCCGCTGGTAGTTCGACTCCTGCACGTCGTGCGTGTCACTGCGTCCGTGGCAGGCGCGAAGGTCCAGCGCGTTGTACAGCACGGCTGCCACCATGCTTATCTCCTCGATGGCAAGAGCGCGGACGTGCTCCCACAACCACTTCAGCCTCTTCTGCATGCCCCACGGCCGCAGCTTCGCGTTGGTGTACTGAAGAAATCGCATGGCACAGGCATTGCGCAACGCTCTGGCTTTGACAGTCTCGGTGGAGATGTTCTTCGCCTGCGCGTTCGAGAAAGCCACGACCATCATGCTGGCCCTGTCCGGCGCCGGCGAGGGCCACACGTATTCCACCACTGGGAAGACGATCTTCTGCACGACGTGCGTCTTCCCCGAGCCGCCCTGGCCCAGCAGGAGCAAGTGCGTCACCTTTCTCTCGCTCCAGGGTTTCTTCTGCACGTCGTCCTCCCAGGCTTCGTCGCAGGCCTTGGCGAACTTGGCGACGAAGAGCGTCTGGTCCTGCGTGAGTCTCTGGTCCCAGGCGAATTCGGAACTCAAAGTTGCGAGGATGTCCCCGGGGCATTCACTTCACTTCACTTCACTTCAGGGCATTTCGGAACTCAAAGTTGCGAGGATGTCTCAAGCGAAAGCGGCCGGGCCACCATGGGGCACGGCACTTCCGAGATCAGAGTTGCGAGGATATCACAAGCGAAAGCTGCCTGAACACCTCACCCCAGGGCGTGTCGGAACCCAGAGTCCGAACACGAAAATTGAAAAAAAAAGGCATGGATACGTGCTTCAGCACGACCCAGAGGAAGCGCACGGGAGTGCGTCCCAGTGGATACGTGCCAGAGCACGACCCAGAGGAAGCGCACGGGAGTGCGTCCCAGTGGATACGTGCCAAAACACGACCCAGAGGAACCGCGCAGAGTGCGTCCCAGTGGATACGTGCCGGAACACGACCCAGAGGAAGCGCACAGGAGTGCGTCCCAGTGGATACGTGCGGGGGCACGACCCAGAGGAAGCGCACAGGGGTGCGTCCCAGTGGATACGTGCCGAACACGACCCAGAGGAAGCGCACGGGAGTGCGTCCCAGTGGATACGTGCCAAAACACGACCCAGAGGAAGCGCACAGAGTGCGTCCCAGTGGATACGTGCCGGAACACGACCCAGAGGAAGCGCACAGGAGTGCGTCCCAGTGGATACGTGCGGGGGCACGACCCAGAGGAAGCGCACGGGAGTGCGTCCCAGTGGATACGTGCCGGGGCACGACCCAGAGGAAGCGCACGGGAGTGCGTCCCAGTGGATACGTGCCGGAGCACGACCCAGAGGAAGTGCACAGGGGTGCGTCCCAGTGGATACGTGCCAGGGGCACGACCCAGAGGAAGCGCACAAGGGTACGTATCCCAGTGGATACGTGCGGGGGCACGACCCAGAGGAAGCGCACAGGGGTGCGTCCCAGTGGATGCGTGCCGGGAATAGCGTTCTGGGAACACGACGAACACGAAGTGGCCTACAGTTGGCTCCTCGTAATTCACTCAGAGACGAGGCTCCCGCCTGAGACTTCCTCCAAATTCAGGCCTGAGGAGCCCAAAAACTTCCTTGTTGCGTCCAAAATGTGGCCTGGGAACTGCGTTCTGGCAGCGCGAGAACCCAACATTGACGACAGTTACAGGTTTTGGATGACCCGCTCGGATTACCAACATGATCTGCGGGCCCCATAGGGAGGGGGCTCCCGCCTGAGACTTCTTCACAATTCACTCAAAGACGAGGCTCCCGCCAGAGACTTCCTCCAAATTCAGGCTTGACGAGCCCAAAAGTGACGACAGTTACAGGGTTCCGATGACCCGTTCGGATTACCAACATGATCTGCGGGCCACATAGGGAGGGGGCTCCCGCCTGAGACTTCCTCACAATTCACTCAGAGACGAGGCTCCCGCCTGAGACTTCCTCCGAATTCAGGCTTGACGAGCCCAAAAGTGACGACAGTTATAGGTTTCCGATGACCCGCTCGGATTACCAACATGATCTGCGGGCCCCATAGGGAGAGAGCTCCCGCCTGAACCTTCCTCAGAATTCACTCACAGACGAGGCTCCCGCTTGAGACTTCCTGCAAATTC